TATATATATATATATATTGCATATCTCAATTACGTTACAACGTTGTTACAACGTTAAAGATGATGTAAAAATGACATTCTTAATACATTTTAAAACAAAAAATTTGCGGAATGCAAGTAGTGAAGATATACAGCTAATTATTATATATCTTAACGTAAGATATGAAATATTATTTAAATAGGAGGGTATACGAAAGATTATAGATATTAGTATACATTAAATATATACACCTAATCTTCGCCTGCTGGTATCGCATCTTCTAGCCTTTTGACAAATTTTACGCGCAATTCAGTAACGTTGTCGTTCTTAAGCTGATCTTGCACAAACCAACAGGCAATTTCCATTTGCACCATTTCGCAAGCACCTCTGAGTACACCGGTCAATATATTACAATATTTCAAGTTTAAACAATGGTCTGGTAATTCTACAAATTCAGTTAGAGGATTTGTCTCGAAGCATAAAGAAAATTCGTCGCCAGCTGGACTCCAATTCATGATTGTTGGTGTGATGCCGAGAAATATCTTAAAGCCACTCTGTATCTTCTCGGCAGTATCTCTGAAATCATAACATCGACCGGAACCTGTTCGTGCTAGAAAGTCTTCTATCAGTCGAATTCCCATGTTGTATCCCATTCTTTCCAACTGCTTGTTAACATCTTCTACATTCTCATAGTCTTTAAGCAATTGGGCCACAAGTGCACCATAAGTTAAAGTAAACAATTCAGAGTTCTGTAACACATAAGAAAACTCTATCTAACACACAAATACTGATATACACTAAGTTACTAATGACCAATTTGCTTATAAATTTTTAGTTTTGCACTTTAGATTAAACAATTACATGACCATAACCTCTAAACTGTACAACAAACTGTACAACACTCGTTTTATATTTAAAATTAATGCAAAATGATTAAGTATAATCTTTACTAATGATAAAACAATATTTTATAAGAAATTCAAAAGAAATAATACGACACTTGCCACTTTTTTTGCATCAAGTTTCGTTCCTGTTCGTGACATATTGACAATTGAGAAGATGAGCGGCACTGTGCGCCAAGTAGTACCTAATAATTATTCGTTTAAACCATTGAACTCATTTCCAAAATACGAAAGCGTAAACAAAAATTAAAAATTATGCAATTTTATTAAATAATTTATAGTAGAAAATAAAAGAAGATTATCTGCCTCTTATTATATTTCTTGAAATTATAAATTCCCCTGCTTCGTCCTTGAGTCGTACTATAAAATAAAAGATTATTTAATCTTCTTGTGAATTATGTTAATTAAAGTAAAAATAGTTCTTTGACCTGCCATTAAGATCTATTTGAAAATAAAAATTTGTCTAATCAGTTTTTAAGGCGTATTATTCGAAAATAAAAATCCGTCTGACTTATTATTCAGTCGTACTACGTGTTCGTTTTTTTTTTTAATTGAAATAAAGGGTGTACAATAAAAGTGTACAAGTCTAAGTACTAGCCTATCCGACTTCTAGATTACATACTTAAGATAAATAACATGTTTTCTCTAGAATTTTAT